CTTCTTCTGCTCCTGAAATCGCTGAATATCGCTCTGGTTTGAGTACCATTCCTTGACGATTCTCATCGTAATCTTCGGCTCCAGTTCTTTAGCCTTCTGGTATAAGGCTTGGGCACCCACATAGCCCGTTTTGGGGTCATAGTATAATTTGGACAACAGCTGATCCATCGCTCTATATGGTTTTAAAACAAAAAAATCCCCTGCCAGGTAGTTGCTTATATGTCGAGCGGTTCGGTGGTGATACCATCCGCAAGTACACGACGCTTGTCATAATAGTAGTTTAGAGCTGTTTTAGTCTGGGTGTACGTAATGATTGACTTACTCTCCTTACTGAGTCTAAACCCCTTGTTGGTGTGATGCGATCGCGAACAACTGATTCAAAGCCATCTGGGTTGAGGACGTCGCCATTGCGGCCACCACTCTGCTGGACTCCCTTCGCTGAAACCGTGACCTTGTAAGATCCGTCTGGTAGGTAGCAAATGTAGTTCTTAGAGGACAATGATACCATAGCATCACCAGACCACTCATCCTTGAACAAACCTGGCGTTCGGCGTTCAAACTGAGCCATCTCTTCGCTATAATCACGTGGGAACCACTCGTACTTATGCTGCTGAAAATGCTCACGAAGCTCGGGCTTGATACACTCAACGAATGGCTTCTCACAGCTGAACGCAATATAAGCCGAGTCTGTGTCCATTTCTTGGTACTGGAATTCCGAACGGTCGAAGTAGAAGTCAATGCAATCATAGTAGAATTGCAGCATACGGAGCTTAGCGAGCTGATAGATTGCAATCGATAGATGAATTGGGTTCTTATTGTTGAGCTTTCGCTTCTTCATAGTGAATTCACATGAATTATTCAGCTCTTCCATTCCATGGAAGGTGAAGTGCTCAATCTTGGCCTTGATTGCCTTATCGTCCGACTCATACCTGACCTCCTTGTGCTTGCTCATGTCCATGCCAGATCGACCAAACGCACTATTACCAAGCAGTTTCATCATCTCAGCAATCATAGCCTTATTATTGCTACCCTCACTAAGCGTTTTCAGCTTAGTCAACAAGTCTAGAACCAAATGAATCTTAGGATTGGTTGTCGATTCATTCATGAATCTATCGATAATGAGCGCATCAAATGATTTAGGGTTCGTAATGATTTTTTTCAACTCTTGGACTAAATCATCCATATCAGAGTCAGATACCTTCTCAATAATGATCTTACAGATGGATTTAACATTTTCATCACCCTCTCGTCGCGCACTCGATACGGCTTCCATGAATGGTGCAAATGCCTTGTGAGAGCTAGCCTTGATGAAGCTGTAAGTCTTGGTGATCTCCATACCATGAGAAATCTACCATTTGAGTAGCGGTGCATAAATGAGGATCTTCTCACCAAAGTAGCTCCCGATGAGTTTGCGAGCCGGCTTTGCTCGGCTTTGCTTGCGCTCCTCGTTGTACTCGAACATGTGCTGACCGATGACACTCCGATCGCTGCAGTCGATAAGGGTGTTCTTGAAAATTGGGGTCATTTCACTGAAGTAGGGTTTGAGGTGCTCTGGTGTAAGGATATCACACTCGAGGAAGCCAAAGATCTTGTCATTTACAATATCATCGACGATCCCTGTGTATGCTTCGATGGTAGTCAACCGTCCACATGGCATCTCATTACCAAGAGCCCACAAATACAGAGCATTAGCATCGTAGCCGATGATCTTTTTGCAGATCCTACCCCCTCGAATCTTGGTCTCGTTGCGTTTCGCGTATCTGTTCAAGATGATAGAAGGATCACCAGCAATGTTCGCCTTCATCTTGGTGTAGATGTCCTTCTCCTTTCTATCGATACTGTACACCAACCTGTCTGAGTTGAATTCAAGTAGCTTCTTGTGGCGGAAGCCCTTTAGCGGCATGTTCTTGCGAGCAACGTTGCATCCCACACAGCTGATCAAGATATTACCATCGATGTGTCCGAGCTTGTTATTGATTCGGTCAGCCGAGGCAGTATCAGCTGTGAGTTGCTTGTAGCATAGCCCACACAGGTATTTTTGTCGCTCTAGCAAGTCGTTGAGGTGTTCTAGCGTCATATTGAATTCACGATCGGCATCAGCATCCTGGGTCTTATATCCACTTAAGCGACTAGCGGGAAAGTCAAACGCTTCAGCAGGCTCCTTACTGGGTTGCTGGAGGTTGTTGAAGCTCGTCTGATACATGGCCTTCTCAGAGAGACCAGGTAGCGACACACCATCAGTGAACATATCAAGTTCTAAACGTTTGAATAGTTCTCGCTGGGCTTTGATGGCCTTGATGAAGGGTACTACATCGAGGTTGTTGTACCAAATGAGTAGATCCTTGATTGACTTCATGCCATAGTGTTCCCAGACGAACTGTACCCGCACATAGTCCTCATCGCTGATGCTAGTGCTACGAAGAGCACTGTCGAACGCCGACTTAGGAGGGACTTCCGTCTGACTGAGTACGTCAAATGAAGTAATGTACTCGTACGGGAAGATGCCTTTTCCTAGGCCACAGACGCATCGAATCTTGTCATCACACTTGCACTCACCGAGATATGTCGACAAGTACTTTGCATAGCTGGTGCCTGCCGGAACATAGTTGCTAATGTCAAGCATTTTTATGTCTGACGTGGCGATGCACATGTAGCTAGGATTCTTGATGACTGATGTGATGTTGTCGGTACCGATGACTGCAAACAGGTCCGCCTTGATGAGGTTGATGTCGTAGCGTCCAGAGTTGAATCCGAATACTGGTACCTGACCAATGCACTGCTTCAGCTTGCCATAATCCGAGCGCTTCTTACCGAACGTGAGCTTGCTGTGGAAATCGAAGAAACAAGCAAACTCCCCGTTCTGAATCCAAGCATTGACATCATCCATCTTGTACGTCTTACCCAAGTCTAGACCAGGAACCTCAGCGTCAGTCAAACCATGGACGTTGATGATTTTGCGGAGCAAAGACTCGTACTTCGAGACGTTGTACTGCTGAATCTTAGCCGCAACTTCCTTGATGTACTGGAACATATCCTTGAGCAACTTCGGCTCATCGCTGACAAAGCATCGCACCTCCTCAGTCAAGCTGTCGGCCACGGAAACAGACACAGGAATGTGTTCGTTTGTGAAGATAGTATTCTCTCCGTTTTTGACACCCGTAGGCTTGAGGATAGCCTCAAAATCATAGACAATGAAGTGATCGATGTAATGGTCAGCATCCTTGATGGAGTACTTAGTCAGCATGGAACGAATGCTGTTCGAAGCGGGTTGGTAGATGGTTGGCTAAGCTGGGAACGATTCGATGTTCACGAGTTCGCATTGGTTCTTAGTGTGGTTGCGTAGCTTATCAGAGCTAACAAACACCATCTCACACATAGAGCATTGGTACTTCTGCTGGAGCATACCAACGTTCGTGATGTAGAGAGCGTGATTCTCGTGCGACAGGATGTTGATCGAATCATAGTCCTTGTCCGAGCAGCGAATGCATTCAACCTTGCCCGTCTCAACATCCATGTTGAAGACGTTGATGTTCAGCTTGAAGCACTCCTTAAGCTCATCGAATTGGAGAATGTCGATAGCTTGAAATTGCGGAACAGACCCAGAGTGTAGGTGATCTCCTTGTACGAACAGTACTGCTTGAAGGCTTGTTTCACCAGAGCCTGGATTCTGCGAGGATCCTTCTTGGCTCCCTCCTGCTTGTGATAAGCAATGCAGTGGAAGACACACTCGTTGTTCGTCTTGGGGAAGTTGATGACGTGCTTGTTATTACGAATCGCCTTAGGAATGACAGCCTCGCCATCACCCAGAGCATGGTCGCGTTGGTAGATATAGATTTTGAAGCCAGTAATCCCCTTCACGATGTACCCGGAGCTGGGGTAGTTGAGCTTGTCAGCCAACTCCATGGAGCGAATCTCCGAGATCACCTTCTTACGAATATCAGCCTTGCTGTTGATAGCTACAGGAGTGCTAAATACAGACGTGTTGCTAATATTCGGGTGGAAGTAGCGAGTCTCGCTGTCATCAGTTCTGCTGACAAGCTTGTATCCAAGAGCGATGTTGACCTTGAAGGCAGACTTCTGGGTTGCGAGCACGTTCTCGAGCTTGTCGTAGAACTCAGCAGGCTGAATTCCCTCGTAGAGGTGCGACTCCATGTCCTTACCTTGGTAGAAGCGGTACTTACTGTCTTCCTTGAAATCAGCAGCCACCTTCTTTTGGAGCTTGCCTAGACTGATCTTGTACTGCTTTGCTACCAATTTTTGGTTGATGGGGTGGGAAATGTTGCTAATGTATACCATGCGCCCCGTCTTGCCACGTACCTTAATACGGTAGCTGCTACCCCATCGGATTGGGTTAATATTTAATCTCTTAAGACCTTCAAGCTCGTATGCGAACATTGCTATATATCGGTGGCTATATTATTCTCCGAAAAAACGACTTTATAATATTGGGTCTTGTATCAGGATTGACTTTATATCATAGGCGACTTTTTATCCGAGGAAAAAAATTAATTAATTAATTAAGTTCGGTTTCATTATTAAGTTCGACTTCACCATCAATAAGTTCGATTTTGGGTTTACGCTTGCGAGCTCGAATCTGGTCTCTGTTCTTGTCATCGTTGTCTTTTTGATAAGATAAACGGGCTTCGCGTGTGCGCTGGTAGTAGCGCTTCTGCGCTGCTTTGATTCGTTCCTTGCTAGCTTGGTATTGCTCAGGAGAGTACGCCATCTTTGTATATTACTAACTTTATATTTATCAGGATCAAAGTATGTCAAGAAATCAAATACTACTTCGAAGTATTTAACTCGGGAGCCACATTATTCCATTCAATCGACCGCAGGAGTCATATCCCAAAAGCTTCTCCAACGCTCCGCATTATCGTCGTGCTTCCACCTCATGCACAAACAAAATGTTTCTGGATCCTCCACGTGAACAAACGTCTTCATCATGAGCGGATCGTCCGTCGTGGTTGATCCTCCTTTCAAACGACTGAAAACGCGATCTGTGCACTGAGCATCCAGAACCTTCACGAAGACCTCGACCTACACGCAAATGTCAGTAAACTTACACACACCAGAACTACGCGCTCACACAGTACCTTGCGTCTGTTGCCAATGGATTGATTCTCTTCAACAGATCCGGGTAGCATGTTGACGATGGGAACCTCAATGCTCATACCGTCGAACCAACCATGCATTTCGCGAGAAAGCGCAAGCCTGTTGTTTGAGTCGCGATCGTACTTGGCGAATTCCCGTTTGTGGTCTCTGCTTTGCTTTCTCGACACCAAATGGCAGCTTTCTGCCTTGCCGTACGGTAGGAAGAACTTCTCGTCCTCAATCCGCTGAAAACGAAACTCGTCAGTCGATGGGTCCAGATTCGAAACGCTTGTAGTCAACGATATCGATGAAACTGTGTTTTGAGGAGATTCCGAATCGTCTGGAACGTAGTCGCAGTAGAAGACGCGCTGGAGATCAGTAGACACAGCGTTAGCTGGTGCAACACGCGTCTCAACAACCTGGTTAGTTAACGGAGAGCCCAGCGTTTGTGGCCCAGTCCTTAAGTCAGTTTCGAACAGCAAAGCAGCATCTTCTATAAAAGAAACAGAGTTAGCCCTCAATGAAGCAGTATTACGATGCAGCGACAGCATATAGAAGCACGTACTTGTCTCGAATAAAACATGAAAACACAATTTCTTGTCTTCATACCAAAACGCGACATTCTTGTTGCCGATGCAGCGCGTAGGATCGTAGTATCCAATGCGTAACGTCGCCATCCGGTACAGTTTGCAGCGAATTCCTTTCGTGATCAACGCGTTTTCAACGGATCCAGTGACAAGCCACAATCCAGTTTGTGCGTGTTCTTGCTCCGGAACCACCACCAGCACGTGGATTTGTCTCGACTTTGGAGCGCGCCCTTTCCGTTTGGTCATATTGTTAGCTGTCAACACGTCCTCAATTGTCCACGTAGCCTTCATCTTCTCGCCATCGATCAACGCTTGAATGTCCTCATGAACCTTTCCGTCCTCCAGATCCAGCGCAGCTTGGTCGTCGTCTGGCAGCCACGCGCCGTCCGCCGTCTTCGCCAGGAAGAGCTGCAGCTTGTCTGCGTCGATGTCCTTGAAGTCGTTCGTCTTCTCCGCCTTGATCGCCTTCTTCAAGTCTCCGACCAGCTGACTCGCGTCGATGTCCACAGGGAAAGCGCTTCCCGCCACACCAACGATCGCACAGACGAGCTTCACCATCTTTTCTCGAGCCGGCAGATTCTGGAATGAGGAGGGAGAATTTCTGGCGTACTTAAGCGAACATGAAGGTGTGTGACATAGATTTTCAACCAATGATGAGACGCCACGTCGCGCTGGTCCGAACTACTAGTAAAATCTGCCGGCGTAATGTTCTATTGGTTTATCAATGTGGTTTGAACGAGCGGTCCCGAAACGCCCTAAGGTCCAAAAGACGTGGCTCTCGCTATAAAGTGGGCGTCGTCAAATCAACGTCTATTAGATCTGACCGGTTTAGAGGTTCTAAAACTACCCTCATATCGAAAAGACGTGCGAGCTCGAATCTGGTCTCTATTCTTGTCATCGTTGTCTTTTTGATAAGATAAACGGGCTTCGCGTGTGCGCTGGTAGTAGCGCTTCTGCGCTGCTTTGATTCGTTCCTTGCTAGCTTGGTATTGCTCAGGAGAGTACGCCATCTTTGTATATTACTAACTTTATATTTATCAGGATCAAAGTATGTCAAGAAATCAAATACTACTTCGAAGTATTTAACTCGGGAGCCACATTATTCCATTCAATCGACCGCAGGAGTCATATCCCAAAAGCTTCTCCAACGCTCCGCATTATCGTCGTGCTTCCACCTCATGCACAAACAAAATGTTTCTGGATCCTCCACGTGAACAAACGTCTTCATCATGAGCGGATCGTCCGTCGTGGTTGATCCTCCTTTCAAACGACTGAAAACGCGATCTGTACACTGAGCATCCAGAACCTTCACGAAGACCTCGACCTACACGCAAATGTCAGTAAACTTACACACACCAGAACTACGCGCTCACACAGTACCTTGCGTCTGTTGCCAATGGATTGATTCTCTTCAACAGATCCGGGTAGCATGTTGACGATGGGAACCTCAATGCTCATACCGTCGAACCAACCATGCATTTCGCGAGAAAGCGCAAGCCTGTTGTTTGAGTCGCGATCGTACTTGGCGAATTCCCGTTTGTGGTCTCTGCTTTGCTTTCTCGACACCAAATGGCAGCTTTCTGCCTTGCCGTACGGTAGGAAGAACTTCTCGTCCTCAATCCGCTGAAAACGAAACTCGTCAGTCGATGAGTCCAGATTCGAAACGCTTGTAGTCAACGATATCGATGAATCTGTGTTTTGAGGAGATTCCGAATCGTCTGGAACGTAGTCGCAGTAGAAGACGCGCTGGAGATCAGTAGACACAGCGTTAGCTGGTGCAACACGCGTCTCAACAACCTGGTTAGTTAACGGAGAGCCCAGCGTTTGTGGCCCAGTCCTTAAGTCAGTTTCGAACAGCAAAGCAGCATTTTCTATAAAAGAAACAGAGTTAGCCCTCAATGAAGCAGTATTACGATGCAGCGACAGCATATAGAAGCACGTACTTGTCTCGAATAAAACATGAAAACACAATTTCTTGTCTTCATACCAAAACGCGACATTCTTGTTGCCGATGCAGCGCGTAGGATCGTAGTATCCAATGCGTAACGTCGCCATCCAGTACAGTTTGCAGCGAATCCCTTTCGTGTTCAGCGCGTTGCCAACGGATCCAGTGACAAGCCACAATCCAGTTTGTGCGTGTTCTTGCTCCGGAACCACCACCAGCACGTGAATCTGGTCCGTTGATGGCTTCAGCATGCCCTTCAACACTTTCTGCAGGCCAGACTCCCCCTGTAGCTCCTTCTCTTCGCTTGTTAAAGCCTCAACTGCGACAGTCTTCTCGCCCTTCTTCAGCTTCTTCACATCTTCTGAGTCGGACACGAGCCACGCGCCGCCCTCCGTCTTCGCCAGGAAGAGCTGCAGCTCGTCAGCAGGGAACTGGTACATCTTCTCCGCCTTGATCGCCTTCTTCAACGCGGAAACCGATGCACCCGCGTCGATATCCACCTCGAACGCACTGCCCGCCGCACCAACGATCGCACAGAAGAGCTTCACCATCTTTCCTCGAGCCGGCAGATTCTGGAATGAGGAAGAAGGATGTAGAATTTCTGGCGTACTTAAGCGAACATGAAGGTGTGTGACATAGATTTTCAACCAATGATGAGACGCCACGTCGCGCTGGTCCGAACTACTAGTAAAATCTGCCGGCGTAATGTTCTATTGGTTTATCAATGTGGTTTGAACGAGCGGTCCCGAAACGCCCTAAGGTCCAAAAGACGTGGCTCTCGCTATAAAGTGGGCGTCGTCAAATCAACGTCTATTAGATCTGACCGGTTTAGAGGTTCTAAAACTACCCTCATATCGAAAAGACGTGGCTCTCGCTCTCAAGTGGTCGAGAGGGGTCGTCGTTGAAATCGCTGCTGTCCCGAAAGAAGGTTTCAGGAATGTTCTCGGTGGTAAATTACGGTAAGGAAAAAAACTGCCGGCGTAATGTTCCGTGACCCACTACTTTCGAGAGTGAAGCATTTCTTCACCCGCTCAAGTCTTCTCAAGGGGTTATGAAGATTGAGCTACCGCGTTTCAAGTTGACATTCAGCGCCAACGATAACGCACAGTTCGAGTCGGAGGAGCACAAAGGATACGTTTTGTCAACGCGCCAGCAGCTCGATGATTTCTTGCCCCGCTTTAGTCAGTACTTGGTACTGGAGCTGAAAGACATATCCGACACGTCGAGGGCGGTATACCGCATACTTCTTCCGGTTGGTCCCGTTGAAGAAAAAGGTATGGTACTTCTACTCAAGCGGATACCCATGTGGATGTTGCGTGCTACGATATTCACCGCCGACTGAAAACGTTCGAGACTGAGACGATCAGCGCAAGACTGCAGCTGGCTGCTGTTTGCACACGTGCTGGAACAAATGTGCCGAGTAAGCGCTTGCAAATGACCGGCGCCGAAGAAGCAGTGGAATTACTGCGAGCATGCCGATCAAGTCGACCATTTTCTAGATTTGAGCGAGAAACTTTGCTGACGATATACAAGTTAAGTTACCGCCCCACAGGAAACCTGCAAGCATATTTGGCCAAGAACACCGCGTCACTCTTAGCCAAGGACGTTCTTCGAATCGCTATTGGGATCGGGCTCGCTGTGGAGTACCTGCATTCATGATCCCCACCGCTTCTCCATCGCGGAATTCGGTCGCGGAATGTCCTTCTCACGAAGGCTTTGAAAGCTAAACTTGTCGGATTTGGCTTGAGTCGCAGCCCACAGGAGCATTTAGAGGCGGGGGCCACCAAGACGGAAGTTGTCGAAGGCAAGAGATACTCAGAACAGGCAGACATTTACTCGTTCGGCGCGGTGCTATCGGCACTTGACAGGGGTATGGCCATCAATGAGGCACCGACGACTGGAGAGAAAAACCGCTTCCAGATCTGGGCAAACGCGATGTCGAGAATCCTACGCCCTAGCTTCTCGGACGAATGCCGTCAGCGAATTCGCCAGATCAGCGCGGCATGCTGTCAAATTGACCCAGTGCAGCGCCCAACGGCGCCTCAAGTTGTGAAGATGCTCAAGGGAATTGTTTAGAAAACTATCTCATAGATTAAAGAAACTGTTGTTTGAAAACCTAAAAGTCATAGTCTTTGAATAGTGGTGTTTGCGTGGACATTTCGACAATATGATATTGCAAGCGATTGTCAGTAAGGACTTCACTCTAATCTCATTTGGGGGAAACCTGAGCGGCGGATAGATTTCAATTTCATGACCCAAGTGCTTCCTGCAGATCTACGAAGGAACGGGGTGGCTAATGAACTAGCAGATCACCTCCGAAGGGCTAACTATAGAGGACAACGGATAGCAGCAAACGTCCGCCGATTATTTGACGCTGATGCCAAGCCATGCGAAGAGGAGCCCACACTATCCCATGCACCGCGATGGGCCAAATTGAGTACAGCTAGCTCGGACATCGCTCATTGTGCCTTTCTCCTCCTCCGTTATAGACACCGTCGATTCTCCTAGAAACCTTCGACTGCCATGAAGACGAAGGTGGACTCCAGACGCCACCTCGAGTCGTCTGCCTCGTACACGAACGCGGTGCTGCCGTCGAACTCCACCTACTTTCAATTCGACGGGACGAATTCGGACCTCGCGAGGCAGTTGTACCTGCGCGCGAAAGCTGGCGACTCTGCAAAGCCCTTCACGAACTTCCAAGTGCCCGACAAGATCCAACAACGGCTCAACGACCTCAACATTGGCTGGGACGGTCTGTCGGGCAACGCTCAGCTTGCGCTGCTGTGGGATACGGGATTTGGCATCACACTGGACAGCAAACCGGTGCAGATGTGGACGCTAGGAGGCCACTCCATGGCGGACCTTGCCATTCCGTTGGTGCAGTTTCAAGACGTTGGGTGTACCGAGATGAACTGCACGCAGCCAGACAACACCACAAGCTACAGCAACCTGTACTGCAACGGCGAGCAAATGCTCAACGCCGCGCGATGCGTCATGGACGACTTCACAGATCCCGTGGGAATCCACGGCGCTATGTGGATCACCGGCGGAAACCCAAAGTCGATCCCGGTTCCGCGGGTCAGGAAGCACGAGTGGGAAGAGGACTCGACCAAGATCCCGTACACTGTACTCGCTGTTCACACGGTGGACAAGAATGACGAGCCAGCGTACGGCGTGTGTCCAAGTAAAGACGAAAATGACGGGTACGGATCGCTCGTGTTGTCCTGCTATTCGTCCTTGAAGGTGTCGGATGACGTGCGTAGTGCCATGGAGGAAGTACAGGGCACTCCGTGGGTGTCTCGATGGCTCGTGGAGGACTATTCAGGCGCATCAACATCATCAACCGACAGCAAAAACGGGTTCAACATGCTGTTCCTCGTGCCCATCGTTGCCGGTACGGTGATCGTCGTTGGCCTCGTCGGCCTCGTCGTATTCATCAGGCATCGGCGAAGTAAAAATGCTTCGAACAACTCTCCGAACGAAAACCTTGGCTCCCCCAACAGCTTGTACCACGGCAACAATATGGACACCCCTGCAGACTACAACAACGCCCGTGGACGCCCCACCAACGAGACTATTCAAAACACAGATACGTCTTCAAGTGCCAACACGTGGAACGGACTAAGGCGCACGTCTACTTTGGGCGAGAATCTGAGCTCCGAGTCGAACGGCACGCTCAAAACGCTTTTGGGCAGCGAGTATTTAGTAGGGAAGCGCATTCCCTACGAGGCCATCCGCTTCGAGCGAGCGCTCTCGAAGGGAGCCTATGGAGAGGTGTGGGTCGGCGAACTCCAAGGTCAACAGGTCGCGATCAAGCGCCTATTTCAGAGCAAAAAGAATCGAGCGGAAGATGTGGAGGAGTTTGCGAAAGAAATCGAGCTAAGCGCCAGCTTGGTGCACCCAAACATCGTCGCTTTCGTGGGTGTAGCGTGGAACAGCCTGAACAACTTGGTGATGGTGCTCGAGTTCTTCCCCTTGGGAGATCTCCAGGGATATCTGGCCAAGAACGCTGACTTGCTCACGTGGGCCAAGGACAAGATTGACGTGGCGATTGGGGTCGGTCGTGCACTGGCGTATCTCCACGCCCGCGAGCCGCCTCTGATCCACCGGGACCTCAAATCAAAGAACATTTTGCTGACACGGAAGCTCGAGCCCAAACTCATCGACTTTGGCGTGAGTCGCGGGCGAGAAGAGTACTCCATGACGGCCGGTGTCGGCACCCCGTACTGGACGGCCCCCGAAATCCTGGAGGGAAGGCGATATACCGAGCAGGCAGACATCTACTCGTTTGGGGTGGTGCTCTCGGAGCTCGATACCTGCAAGCTTCCGTACCACGACGCGTTGACTCAGGACGGACAGAAACCCAAGCCGTTCCAGATCTTGGCGGACGTGATGGCGGGCACGCTGCGTCCGAGCTTTTCGGAGAGCTGCCCGCGACGAATTCGTCGCATTGGTGTCGCGTGCTGCCAACAAGACCCAGCAAGACGCCCCACTGCTGCTCAAGTAGTCGTGATGCTGGAAGGGGGAGATTGAGAGCGTTAATTAAAAGCTACTCGTCTATGAGATCGGCTCTAGACGCAACGTTTGCAACGATTAGCCCATTCGATTCGTTCGAACAGGGTGGAACCATATCCATAACTTAGCAGGAGGAACGAATGATAAAGTATTATCTAGGGGTCTTCTTCTTCAGCAAAAAATCGCCCAGCTGCTTCTCCAATGGCAATCTCTCACCTGCCGAACGTTCATACACCACGACAAGTCCAGGCTGAGCAACACCCAATTGACCACTTTACCACCCCGCGGACATCCGGCCGGGCCCTATTGCGATCAACTGTTTGATTCACTTACCATTGGCACCACCGCTACCGCTGTCACTCCGTCTCAAGCCTCATACGTTCGGTTTCTCCTTCCTCGTGGCCATTTACCTGAAGACACCGAGCAGCTACGAATGACTCTCGACAGTGGGGCACGTTCGCGATACCTGAAAGTGGCGCCGCTGCCATCGCATGAAGCCTTCTTTGCCTTTGACGGAACAGTAAGTACCGAGTCGATTTCTAGTGGCGCAAAGTGGCATCTGTTGCTGAGAAGGCTGCGCTGAGAAGGCTATTAGCGAGTACCAGTCACGTGCACGAAGCAGCTAGTGTACGTGATGACCATCGTCAAAGTGCAACGAGCGACACGCAGCAAGTGTAGCCAAGGCTCTGAGTGCCAGGATGCTTCCAAGGACCAACAGAGCTTCAAGGAGAGACGACCCAGCAGCAAGGACTACAACAGGAACAGGATCGAGGACGGACGACGCAAGGAGGGTACGCAAGTACTGGTAAAGATATCCGAAGCGGCGGCGAAAGATAGCGAGTAAGATCGGGTAGGTCTTGCGCATGGATAGGAAGTGTGTGTTTGCTGGCTCATTCAACTGAAACCATGGTTACCAGAAAAATCCAATCCCCTTTGCGTAATGAATACTTCCCCACACATACCTACTAAAAGGTCTTTAACTATTAAGTAATTCACTTTAGTACTTCAGTGATTTCTCCAGACTAAGATAATAAATGAGACT